GTAGAGGCGTGCTCGGGGACACAAAGAAAAAAAGACGGATCCCTTCAGGATTTTCATTCTGTCTAGTGTATATATGTATACTTGCTTTCATATTTTTATGCATGTCTATCGTTTCGCGCGCATATTCAAACGATTTTTGCCAACTCAATCGGCTCATTTTTGTTTTGGTACGAAATTTCGTTTTGCCGTCATAATTGCCCCGCTGTGCTACGAAAATCGCGAGAAATTTGAAGGAAGGTGTAATCTCGCTGTGGCATCTCACTATTCACCTCAGCAAAATTTTTCAAATTGGTTCACAGTTCTTTTCCCTTCTTATTGATATACGTTCTTTGACCAAATTAAAGGTATTTTTATGATCTTTTTAATTAATTAATTTTGTTTGAAGATTGAAGATTGATTTATTATATACAATTATTATTTTGTATTTTTTTCATTGCTAAATTTTTCCAAAAAAAATACAACACAAAGTACAATTTTTTTATCACTAAATTTTTTTCCAAAAGTTTATAGATGTGTACATAAGAAAATAGAAATTTTTGTCACCAACGACGCAAAATTTTTAATAATAAATAATTTTGTGTAAAACTTTTTGAGATAATTCCCTTTACGTCACCTCATATCTTCGAAAATACGACAATAAGCGACAAAATTATCCTCATGCAAACTCAGACTAACGCCATTTCTTGCCCCTCTTCTTCGGAATATATGTATCTCGTCCAAATTTTTCGTGCTCGGTACCTTTGTACACATAGTGGAACTGCATGAAATTTAGCATTAATATTTTTTTTATCAGCGAAATAATTTTTTGTAAAGTTCCCGCCAGAACATAAATAAATTTTTTGACAAATAATGCAATTAAAAAGAAGTAGAGTCAAATAAATCCACTGTATTGTGTTTGCATCGACAGTCGCTGTCGGCAGCTGTTTTTAAAAACTGCCACTCACTGTCATCCGGTGGAAGTGTAGCTCTTCGGCTCATATTCGCGGCTTTCCCAAAGTTGTATAATATCTAAATAAATAAAAAATTAAAGTTATTATTATTACCATTGGTTGGGTGAACTTAGAATCTTCCAGATTCTTCTCCAAGTGTGTGTAATACGTTTCAATATTATTTATATTACATTTCTTTATTTGAGTAAAATAGGCTTGCGTACTTATGTACAACCGCACAATTCAACATTTAAAAATGTTTTGATTTTTTGTTTGCAAATCTTCTCTATGCGATAAAAGATTTCGTTCTACTCACCGCAAACCACAGGAAAGAAGATTGAATACAGGATTAAAATGACAAGATGAAAATAAGATAATAATAATAAAAAGAGAAAACGAAGAAATCAGAGAAGAAAGACAAAGAAAGATAAGCAGAAGAACTTGCATATATGTTGATATTGACCGAAATTGTGTGAGTTTATTGGTGAACCCATCAGCCCGTTCTTGTAGGGTTTTTTCGACCATTATATTCGGATATTGCATACTTCTACTAGACACCCCTTAAACGATTAGAGCCAAGTTAAGGACATTGCGCGGTTTAATTCTTCTTTTCACTGTTTGACGCCAATTGAAAATACCAAGTACAGCCATGTCCTTCTTTACAAGGTCTTTCCAATGGAGTGGATCAGAAGCATTCAAATCCATTGGGACCACATGACATAGCAAGCTGAACTACGTTAATGTGGCCGTATATCTCGTACAGATACTGTTGTTTTTGTTGCTGTAGCGGTTCGCTAAGCCCGCTTAGGTACAGGTTTGATCAATCTATGTCGCCGAGGTCATCTAGTGGTAGGTCCAGGAAACGTGCTGTTTCGACGCGATTGGACCAAAAGGAGAGGGGGCTTAGATTAGTCAGTTTAAGAGTTCATGTGAACAGGTGGTTGGTATTGTGCGAAGATCCTCTACATGCAGGGCATACGTTGGATATGCTGGGGTCGAGTCTGGATAGGCAGGTGTTTATCCTGCTACAGTATCCATACCTAATTTGTGCGTTTGTACAGGCCTATACTTTCTCCAACTGCTCCTCGCTTGTCCCGGTGCCCAGATCGGTACCGCATTGTTAACTACCGACCGGCCATCTGCTTAGTAGGTTGGCGGAAAAGTTTCTTTGTCTTTCTCCAGGTGCTACCGCCTAGTGCTTTGAGGATCTCACGACAGCCGGTTCTACGCGCGTTTGGTGGGATAAAATCCGGCTCAACTCCCGTGGTAAAACCGGCTGTCTTGAGAGCTGTCAACTCCGGTGCGTAGAACTAGCTGTCTTAAGAGTTATGCGTGGAACCGGCTCATCCCCCGAGACAAACTCGACTCCTACAATTCAATTGCAACGGTCTCCAGGGAATGTCAGGACATAGCTAGCCAGTCAGGCGATGTCGAGCTCGAGATAGTCCGGCTTCAAGGAATTTACCGAGAACGCCTTCAGTGCTCTTCCCTCTCCATCAGATGTCACTAGTGGTAAAGGTTACCTCCGCAGGGTCGTCGTGACCGCTACTGCCCGCTTCATCCCGGCAGGCCGAATCGCGGAAATCAGCCCCATTTTCTGACAGAAGCTGCGGTGTTAGCATCTAGGCGCGACACCCTGCGAAACTCCGATCCCAGAATCCCATAATTAGGGATTTAAACGCGGAGATTTGATGAGTAGTGAACAAAACCACAAGCGGTCAAAGTGGGAAGAACACTTAAGGACCTGCAATCTCTTCGTTGAGACAACCAAGCTCTGGGCTACATTCAAGTCGTTGTCTAACCCGACGAGACGGGACGAATGGGTGGAAATTTCTTTCGGTGTCCGCGCCCCGTCGGACCCAGAGAGATGCACGAGTTGTTTTAGCCGACTTTTTATTCTTCAATCTTCGGTAGATAAAACGAAGCGACGTGTAACCCGCCGTATACCCAAACTCTTAAACACCAGTGCGACGTTTGGCTTCTCCAGGGAAGAGGTTCGGTGGTAAATGGGAAGGCAAAAGCCTCCAAATCTATCGGCCCATCGGACGAAATAAGCACGCTGATGTTAAAAAAATCTTGGACCAGCGGGGGCATACTTTCTCTTCAAGGTCCTCATCTTTAACTCCTTGTCCTTGTCTTTAACCACCCAAATGATACCTGACGTGTGAAAACCAGGCACGGTGGTCTCGCTACTCTAACCGGGGAAACTAGCCAAAAAAGGAGAGTCTTTTCGGCCGACAGCTCTCCTCTTCCGATCCTCTTTCACCATCTGCGTCCAGCAGACATCAGCATGGTGGGCGAACTGTCCTGGTAGCACTGGATCTGTCAAAAGCTTTTGACACCGTCAACCATTCAGTGCTACTAACGGACATTGAGGAATCCTCATTACCGCCGGGGTTGTAGAGGTGGGTCATGGGCGACCTGAGTGGTCTACAATCATCGGTAATACTCCGAGATGTAACATCTAAACCTAGGAAAACTAAACAGGAGGTTCCGCAGGGTGGTGTCCTCTTTCCGCTACTGTTTAATTTCTACATCTCGAAACTCCATCCACCACCAGAAGGAGTTTCCCTAACCTCTTATGCCGATGATTGTACGATAATGGCGTCTGGCCAGGATATTGATGAACTCTGTTCGAAAGTGAACTGCTCCCTTGCCTTCACTGCACGACAACTAAAACCACAACCGACTAAATCCTCGGTCACCCTCTTCACCAGCTGGACGAAGGAGTACAGGCTTGAACTAGATGTGAAGGTCGATGACACACAAATTCCTACGGTAAATAACCCAAAGATATTGGGGGTAACTCTAAACAGCCTTCACTCCTTCACTCCGTATATAACCGCAATTGCCGCAAAACTCCAGAGCCGCAAAAAAATACTTAAAGCGCTAGCCGGCAGCACCTGGAGTAAAGACAAAGAAACTTTGCCGGCAACTTATAAAGCAATTGACCGCCCGGTAGAAAACTATGCTGCAGCGATCTGGGCGCCGGGGACGAACGAGATGCAGATGAAGAAGCTACAGGCTTTCTAGAACACCGCCCTCAGGACCGCGCCAGGAAACCTCTTGATGTCGCCGGAGCATCACTTGCACAACGAAGCATCGATGCTATGAGTTAAGGAGCGTGACCCTAACGCAACTCAGGTCTGGATATTGTAGCAGGCTAAGCTCCTACTTACCCAGACTAGACCCCAGCATACCCAACGAATGCCCTGCATGTAGTGAGTCTAACCACCTTTTCACATGCCCTCTCAAACCAACTCATCTAACCCCCCTCTCCCTTGGTACAGCACGTTTCCTGGACCTCTCACTAGTTAACCTCGGCGACTTAAATTGATCGAGCTATACCTAAGAGGGGTTAGCGAACCGCTACTACTACTACTAAAACAACAACAACAACAAAACAGTTAATATTGGGTCTGAACATTCATTGCGCATTATTTCACAAAACATTGTGTGTCTAGAAATCCATAAAATCTGCAATTTTTGTACATAAAGTGTTCATCTAGGGTTTACTTTATTGTTTGAATAAAAAATAGTCTTCCTTTAAAATCTGTAAGGTGCGCAAAAAATAGTTTGTACTTAAGGATAACTTATTTCAATTTTATCATTACGATCTGGGAATTTGATAATTTTTACCTAAAAACAAAAACAATTGCTTTAAACAGTTTCCAAAACAAACTTAATATGATCTCTATTATATTATAGACGCTTTGCAACCGCTGAGGCGTTTTTCCGGCCGAGCTCTTCCCCCCATTTTTGGGTTTTGCGTCTTGATGTTCTTCCAACCTACAGTTTATACTAAGCCGCCTCCAAACTACTGATGGCTTTTTACGAGGAGCCTTTATTTCATAACTGAAATACACTCGGAGGAGTAGACATCTACTTCCGAGGGCCAACCGCAATTAGAAAATTTAACTTAATTTTTTATTTAAATTAATTTTAAATAAATTTGGGTGTTGGTGGCGCCGGGATATGAACCCGAGCGTTCCGAATGTCAGTTCGCAATGCTAACCACACGGCTACCGCGAACGCCATCTCTATTGCACTAAGAATATTAAACATTACTAATTAAGTATTCAATTTTACAGGTAAGGGTAAATATTCAGATCTTTGATATAAATTGGATGTACAATTTTATTTTACACGGAGGAAGGAGCCGTTGGTATTAGAGAACTATTTGATATTTGCGTTTGTGATATTTGTTGCTGCATCAGTTGTATTTGATCGCTATGATTTTGCGATAAATTGTTGTTTGTCAAAGTCTCCGCAACAGCTACAGTGGTTTCAGATGGGGTAAACCTTTGTAACCGTCCAGTTGCAGGTTCCATATATATACCATGAGCTGTATGCGCATGCTGCCGCAAAGCATACATTTGAAGGAATCCAGCGTCGCATTCTGAACACTTGAATCGTTCTCCTGTATGCCGCCGTATATGAGCTTTCAAATCATTGCTTTGAGCAAAACCCCGACCACACTCCTCGCACTTAAATGGCCGCTCTCCTGTATGCGTGCGCATATGAATAGTGAGATTGTACGCACGATGAAATCCTTTGCCACATAAATTGCATAGGTTAGGTTTAGTGCCCGTATGATATCTGTCAATTGTGATAAAGAGTTTCAGCATTAGCCATCGTAAGGCGCAAAACACTTATTAAACAAATATTACCTTTCATGTATTTTCACATCTGTAGCTCGCGGAAACCCTTTTCCACAATATTGGCATTTGTATGGTTTCTCCCCATTATGTCGTCGCATATGTACACGTAAATAATCGTTGCGCACAAAACTTTCTCCACACACCGAGCAAAGAAAGTTTCGACGGTCACTATGATGTCCTTTTTCATGTTCGCGCAACACTTTACGTTCTTTAAATGTATCATCGCAAAATTTGCAGGCAAACACTCGGTCAGTATGCATGAGGATATGTTTGCGAAGATAAGTTTTACTTGTAAACTTTTTCCCACAATATTCACACGTATGAACTTTATGAGCCTGAGGATCACTACCATGACGAGTCTCTATATGTTTGGTTAGATCTACCGAACGAGCAAAAGCGCTATTACATTGATCGCATTTGAATTCCTTTGTGTGATGTAAGTTCAAAACGTGTTTCTTCAAATGGTCACTACGTGCAAATCGTTTAGGACAAAAGCTACATGCGTGTGCCTTTTCCTCAACGTGTGTTAACATATGACGCCGTAGATGGCAATGCCTTGAAAAGGTTCGTTGGCATTTTGTGCACCGGTTTTCTGAATTTGCCGTTTGATCCACAGCGGAATTTTGAGCAAGAAACTGGTCGACCACTTCTGTGATGCGTCGACGATCTATAATATCACTTTCCAAATCTTCATTTCTGCTAGACATGTTCTTCAAATTAGCCGACTCTGAAATGTTCCGATCGGTGGACAAATCGGTCTCTTCTTTAATTTTATTACTCACAACTGGCGAATGACTTCGCTCCCAATCCGGAGACATGGGATTTGTTTCGAAATCATCGTCAGAGCCACCAAATTCACATTTAACTAAAAGTATAAAATATTTAGATCCATAAATTGTATTCTCGTTAATTAATGCTTACCTTTCACGTCAGATTCGTGTTCTAATTTTAATTGAGGTAACATATCATCTGTAAACTTGAAACCATCAAGGCCTTCATCATCACTTGAAATAGGATTTGTATTCATATTAATATCGCTTTCGGCTTCATCATCAATGTCTGGCCCACATTCAAGAAAATGAGATGAGCCAAAAAAATTATCCACTTCGGCTAAATTGCAAATCTTATCTGTCATTCTGACATTGTCGGCTTGTGATGTATGTTCTGCCAAACTAAAACAACAAAAAGCTTGAAATAGAAAAAAAATTAAAACTAAAAAGTACTATTTACTTACTTTCTTGATTCAACTTCTTCCAATTCGGCATTTTGATTCTTTTTCGCTGCACGATTTGATATCTCAATTTCCGGTTCTTTAAGAGATACTCTAGGGCTGTTTATAGTATACAGTTAATTAGCCATGAAGTTGTGTACAGCAATATATTACCTTGAGGTTGTTTCAGGTTGATGGTGTACATTTCGCATGTGACGATTTAAATGTTCCCTACGGGAAAACCTTTTGCGGCATATTGTACATTGTATGTCCAATGCAATGCCTATACTTGGGTGCTTGTGAACTAAGTGACTACGTAATTGTCTAATGCGCTCAAAGCGCATTCCACAAATCCGACATTGAAAATCACTGTTATGATGTACTTGTTTGCGATGCTGGCGCAGTTCCATTAAATCAAAAAATTTCATTTCACACATTTCACAAGGGTGGAGGCTTAGTCTATCCGTCTGTGTACCATAATCCCTTCGTTGACTTGTAGGAACGCATTCGAGCTTATTCCCTGCTATCCCTCTTAATGAATCATAAGCTCTCTCAACACTTTGTTTGAAATCAAATGCATCTTGAGCCTTTCCCATGCAGAAATTACAAATTTTTTGTGGTATCCAGGGATCGCCTTTTTTAACAGGATATCGAGTACATTCGGATATTATGTGCGCTATAGTAACGCCACTTTGCGTTTCTTGATATATTGAAATCAATTCAACATTTTCTTGCAAACAAATTCGACAAATGTGATCTGGACTCACTTTACTTAGCCCGATATTGATACTTTCCATTTTGGAATATCACTACTCGTTTTTTATCTTTGATTCAACGTTGTGATGTTAGCTTAAATTAAATATTTTTTTGTCATACTATAGACATACACATAATTATAATTTCCTAACTAATTAACTCCATACACAATTTATATTCATTGTGTTGAATTCATCGATAACTAGCAGGAAGTGATGTGTACTTAATGTTTTTTGTTTGTTTTTTATTGAGAAGCGAATAAAATAAATTTAATTTTATAGAAATTTTTCGGGAAGCGTAAAAAAATGAAACAAATAAATTGAATATTTATATCAATATACTTAAGATATTTCCTAAACTATTTACATAATATATTTTCGGAAAATTATATTACTTCATAAGTAGCACTCTGTGCCGATACTCATATGTTTTGTGGAACAAGGGCCAGCTGTTCGACCTCATTCGGAAGTTTTATTCCATAACAAAAATTTCTATTTATCGGACTATTTCGACTAGATTTACAAATATCTATTTATTCTGAATAAATATGTCGAAATTATTGTCGCTAAATGTTAAAATCGGGTCATTCAAGCAATTGTTTGCTCCGATGGGAATCGGTTCTACATGTAACAGTCCAGTTCTGATGGAACGTCGGCAACAGATCCATCTCACTGAGAAATGTAATGAAATTCGGAAATTGGCACGATTGCGTGTAGTGGACAATAGTGAAATTGGTAAACGAGCCATGGCAGAGGGTAAGCCACCACGATGCATTCATGTATACAACAAACGTTCCGTGGGTTTTATCGGTGACAAGGTGCTTGTAGCCATTAAAGGGCAAATGAAGAAGGGAATTTTGGTAGGTCTGAAACAAAATCAGAAGCCAAAAGTACCGAAATTCGATAGCAACAATATTGTCTTAATTGATGACAATGGCAGTCCGCTTGGAACACGTATTCATGTGCCTGTTCCGACTATATTACGCACCATACTCAAGGAAAAAACACAGGCAAAAGGTGCGGATTACACAAAGGTGTTGGCGATAGCTAACAGATTCGTGTAAATTATTGTTTTTGCAATTATATAATAAAGTTGAATGTTAATAATTAACTAAAATTAATTCGTTTTAAATTTTATATAAAAATAAAAAGAATTTTACATAGGTGTATTTATTATTGTAGTTTTGTTTCGTAAAATTTCTAATTTCAGTTCTGTGCATCAGCAGTAAATAAATAGTTAAATGGTTGGCCGTTTCCGTGTTTGTTCTGGAGAGGTACTTTCTCCATCCAAATCAAGTTGCTTACGTTTTCTTTTCTTGCTATGTTCGTGAACCAATTCACTAATAAGAAGCTTATTGGATTTCATTTGCAGCCAGTTAGTAAACTGTTTAAAAATATTAAATATAAATAGCTAATTCTGACAATCTACTTATAAATTTACCATCGTATTTGTCTTCACACCAGAATCATATAATTTTTGTTCAATGTCATCCAAACGATGTTCCGGTTTACCATCTTCCGTAGAGCTTTTTGAGATGTCAAGTAAATGTCGCACACGTTGACGCATCGTTTCGAAAACAATTCGTCCAACAATATGATTGCGATCGTATGGTGTTAAATACCGTCCGTACTCGTAAAAATAAGGATGTAGTTTACCCAACTCTATATGCGTTGTTTCTGCTTCACATACCGCTTTATGTACATTTTTGTAGATATCTGGCACGTTTACTGTAAAATATGGATTATTAACCTTTAACTCTTTTATATACCATAAAGGCAGATTCACTGTGCGTCCCGTATTTAAATCGTCCGATTCTGCGCCAGGATCAAGGAAACCTATGCGACAAAAATCAAATCTTATAAAACTCGAAGTGTGTATATGATTTTAGTGTGAAATTACCCATTTTCAATAGTTTCGTGTTAACTTTACATTCCACTTTTTCTTGTGTTACGAATAGATCTTCGACGGCATAATAGTTCGGAAAATAACTTTGGGAGTTCATATTTGAACTCAAACTGAAGTAAAATTGTTTAATATTTCGCACTTTTGGCGCGTTTCAGCTTAAGTAGTCGAAAATGCAAATTGTATTTGTGGATATAAAAACATATGTTTCGGCTTAACACATATTTACATATCTAAATGGGTATGTATCGAAACCATATGTTCAAACATAAGGTATCGGAACTGGAATCGAAAGAATTTAAAATGTATATCGTTGGAGTACAATTTTGTTACACAATGCTATCTTCGTTGAGAAATGTCAATAAAAATGTTATTTGCTGAAGTAACGAAATTGAGAGAGTAATGGGTTTAACTTTCCGAAAGAAAGAAAGGAATTTACTGAGCGTTTAACGAACAGGATCCAGTAAAAATCAATGTCATCTTTGGTAAAAATTAGCCAGCAAGTTGTACAACTGCTTATTGCCGGTTAAATCTGTATCCGTTCATTTATACAGTTTTTTTATTTCTGGTTTTAGGTGTTTTAATGAAATTGGCAATTTTGTGACGTTTTTAAGCTATTAAAATTTGTTGTATTTCAATATGATGAAATTTATATGCTTTATAGCCGTCCAACTATAAAGATATCAATATGTATTTTCAAAAAGTCCTCTAGAAGGACAAGGGTTGATGTAGAAGTTGCTTTGTGCCAATTTGTCTCTTATATTTTCAGTAAGGGTGACTGAAATACGAAAATAAGTTATAATTCTTTTTCCGGCCATATTAATTCAACATTATTACGAAGTTTTTCGATTCTGTTTAAATTAAAATCAAGAAAGGGCTTCAGTTTTTCTTCAAAATGCTACTAATATTTCATTTTGTGTATCGACATCGCTTCCGGTAGTTTAAGAATTATATCGCCCTAAGTTGCTGAACTTTGCTTCGAATTTGTTCTGCGGCTCCTTCGGTAGTCATTGTTTTATGGTAAATTATAGAAATCCAAAATCAACCCTTGTACTAGAAATAATAATATATTCTAATTCTATGCCTTCCTAACTTCTAATTTCTCAACGGAAGCTGGTTGTGTGCGGGTGATGATTCTACTCCACTGCCACCACTTTATCGTTTAAGGAGTGTCTTTATTATTGTTGGAATCATTGATATTGTTCAGTTAAATTAAACAACATTACATTTAACCACTTATTATATTTCGCTTGCATATATTTCATATACTAGAATTGAAGTTATTTTAATTTTCAATCAAATTTGTTTTGTTGTCGAAAATTCAATCATATTGCTACGATTTTGCTGAATCAACCTCGATGATTTTCTGATTCCTATCGTACCCGAAGGATTGTCAAATAAAAATCGCCAACTTAATTTGCAGTTTTTTTTCGTTATAAAGAATTTATCTAATGTCCTTTGTTTATTCAGTAATTCACAATTCAATTACAATGCACTTTTTAGTTATAATCACTTGTATATACTTTCACAATTTATTTTACTCAAATGTAATCTCCAACGCGTTTACTTTACGACTCAATATAAACAAATAGTTTTTTCCGCTATACTCTATGTTGTCGCCAACGAGTTCACTTTGTAACTTAACTTGGCAGCTGAGTGTAGCCCTTATTTAGCAGTCGGCTGCTCGTAGCCGAAAGTGTAGAATAATCGAGTTGTTGTTCGCTATCGAAGGTTCTCGTTTTATCGTTCTAGAATGTACTAGTTATCGGTTTCTCTGTTTCATCTGACATTCGCCTCGCATTTTCGCATAACTGCCCTCCACCTAAATCTGATCGTCCCGATCAGACACATTCGCTGTTCCAAACTCAGTAAGCCTCTCAAGGTGGACCACTTACATCTTGTTTCTTGGACTCCCAACGGTTTGGATTCGATACACTACGTCGTTTAGTCGTTTGATTATCTTGTATAGACCTTCCCAATTACATTGAAGTTTTGGGGACAAACCCCTCTTCCGTTGTGGATTGTACAGCAACACCGAATCTCCATTTTGGAAACCCTCGGAGTTCATCGCCTTGTCATACCTGGCCTTCATTTTGTCACTCATAGTTCGCTGTCTTACAAGCCTCTCTTAGCTCTTCCTCGAGATCGGTAGACATTGCCTTCCCAATTCTTCTCGCATCGCCAGTTATTCCAAATTTTAAATCGCTGGGTAACCGTAGTTCACTACCAAACAGTATCCTCGCAGGTGTTTGCCCTGTAGTTACATGCACGGCGGACCGATATCCCATCAGAAAAAGCGGTATATGCACATTCCAATCATCCTGATGCTTGTCCACTACTTTCCGCAAGTGCTCTTCCAGGGTCCGGTTGAATCGCTTT